GGGAAGTTCAACTTGTTGATGCGACCTCTCGTCAATGAAATTCGGTTGCCAAACACACCTCAGACGTTTGTTTGTTCCTAATTTTATCTACGCATGCAGCATTGTGCGGTTTCCTTTTAAAGGATTGCCTCGTTTCTCTGACTCGATCTTTCAGCTCTCACCCTCACTCCAGTCATGTCCAACAAGCCTTTCGCAAACTGTTCGCCTTTGTCTTATTCATCCTCCAAGCATACTCGTCAGAGCAGCTTTGATCCTCCTCCTCATACTCATCTCAGCCATCGCACTCGGCACCTTCGACACCATGGATTCAATGTGTGACCTTGCTCCCCGTATGGCACAGTGTCCTCAGAGTGCGTTGTTTGCTCCCGCTGGGACCCAAATGGCTCCTCGTCTTACAACATCCAGCTGCAGCCACCCGTGCCATTCCTCATACGCCCTCTTGGCCCGCCGTCCCATTGCCTTCTACCTATCCTATCCCCATCCTTCATTAGATACAATTTCATTCCCGTTTCCCGCTCTAGCTTTCTTGTCTCGTGAAGATGTAAGACGCACCTTCAAGACCTGCAGAATACGGCAGCATTCCGCCATCCTCGAGCTTTTGTTCTCCGGTGTGGTCAGCTACAACGGGCTCGAAACCCGACCTGCGCAAGTTCCTGCAAGTTCAATGTCGATCAGAGATCTCGTGTTGCTTTTGCACAACACATTTATTCTCCGCTTTCGCGGGACGAGTACTTTGGCCTCGACGAAGCGAGGCAGATGCTCGTCTCCCAGTCTTGCGCTCGTCGACGCGGAGGTTGATGCGTCCGTTGCCAATTTTTGTGTTGTGGACGTGCTCGGCCTAGGAGCTGGGGAGATTGTTTTATTCGGCCTCAAGGGCGATACCGACAAGGGATGGACTGCAGTGTTATACAATCCGAGCCTTCAGTAGGGGCTGGTAGCTCAAGGCTACAGCGGAGCCACGTCCGTATCTAGACGCTTTCGATTCTTTTTCTGATCCTCGGCATGTGCCAACATCTTCATATCTTATCGGACTTGTAAATGTCACTTGTGCATCGGAAGAATTGTAGTACCAGTACGTTTGTGTCATCATCCTCAGCGCGCGATGTCAGCTATAAGTTTCAGTATCTGGCTTATTTTCCACGTGATCGCGTCCGAAATCAGTGATCTAATCTCAGCTCTTGACCCTGATGCAGGCTGAGTCCGAAGACCGTTCTCTTGCTCCCGAGCATCCCATCCCCAACAGACACTTCTTTTCGGTTGAATATCCTGGCTATGTCCGTCAAGAATCCGTGCCTATCGCGATACAAAATCTTGGTGGGCAAGCCGCGCACTCGACAATGCTTTCAAACGCAGGGCGAAGACGGAACCCGCGACCTTGGAGCTGAAACTACGTCCTGGGAACCCTTTCGCGCACCCATCCCCGGAGATGTTGTCTCGACGAATAGCCTTGTCCTCAAAATCGTGAAACGCCGTCGGAAAAATCGAATGGACGACAGAGGCACGGTCGGGGAGTACACTGCCGAGATCGTCGGTGCGGCTCCCAAAACGGTGAGATTCAGAAGTACGTATACTATCCTTGGGAATCTTTTGGCAACTGAGACCATCAGGTATGGCTGACTACCAGTACCAGCCGGACGCCAACGATCCGGTGACTAAGCTACGGACGGCAATGGACATTACGGATGGTATCGGTACCTGTTCATTTTCGTCTCAAATTTGCTCATTCAGGACAGTCGAGACCCTCCGGAGTTATTCCATGCCAGCTGAACGTGCTGAGTACCTTGTTCCTGTAATGTCTCCCGAGTCCTCCAGTACGGACATGAACGCCATGACCAATCTCGATCCTGCTCTGGAACGAACGCCGGACGACGCAGAAGCTCAGCGCCAGCCTAGGCAAAGCAACTTGCGCCTGTTTCCGCCACCGCTGTTCAGTCGCCAGGCGCTTCCTCAGCCATACAAGTATGTAATATTTACAACTCGCTACTGTCTGCTCACAGTCTCAGTTTCAAGGCCAATCCGGCATCCATGGTAACGTCGATCGTCAACGAAGAAACGGAGAGGAGAAGAAACGTCTCATCAATAAAATGCGCTGGAAAGGATTCGGTCCAATTTCGCTCTCGTTCAGCGATCGCCAGGTGACGCACGGTAATAACTTGGTCCTGTAATGAAACTAATGCCGTCAGATACCTGATAAACCATCGCAAAACATTCAGGGCGCGCGAGCTACGTTGAACGAGGCTCTGGTCAAAAAGCTCTTGGAGGTTTGCGATTTCTTCTCGCTGCAGAGGCCGCGATACTCAAGGAAGGCAAGATTTTCACGACACGACCAGTATGGACTAGGGCAGCTCTCCTCACTCAGTTGACGCCTTCAGAGGCCAGAGAAGCCACCAAGTACGTCGCACCTCGGTTACTGCGCGCGCAGCTCATATGGTTCTGCAGCACAAAAGCATTGCTGCCCACTGTATGTTACGTTTTCAGCGATGGACCATGGAGAGACACACTTGTTCGATTCGGTTACGATCCCAGGCAGAAAGCGGAATCCAGATTGTAGGTTATCCAACTTTTCCTTGTTGCTCGTCCTGATGTCATCCAGCTACCAACGAGTTTATTTCCGCAATGTGAATCACCCGATTGTCAAGCCATCTGTGATGACGCGGCGGCAAGATCGTTCCATTACTGGTGGGTCCGAATACAACAGCATTGTCGATGGATCGGAGAAGGATGCTGAACGCAAGTGGGTGTACAGTCCTTCAGCCCCGTCTACTGCTCATTCTGTGGAAGAAAGTCGCATATATATGACGGCAAAACTTTTCCAAGGGAAACAGCATCATTTCAGCTCTGTGACCTCCACGACTCTATGCTCCAAGAGATGATCGAAGACGAGTCCGAGCTGAGAGAAGAATGCGACGTTCGTTTCTCTCGATCGATCGATCTGTAGCATCTGAATGCTCAAGATCAAGTCAGGAACGTGACGGATGGTACACAACGTACGCCCTCGAGAGAATCAAGACCGTCCTTCGACACAAGTTCTTCACTACTCTGGAGGGTTATCCGGCAACAGACGAAGAATGCCGACAACTGCTCGTTGCGTCGGCGCAAATGCCGAGCAGAGGCAAAGAATTCTCGAATCTAAGGAACGTCCGTCTCAAACTGGGCAAGCATAACATGGCCAAGGGAGCATTAAGGCCGGAGGATGCTGCGGTGCGTCTATCTATTCATTCAGTCCACTCCCTTCCTTTTAACTTTATCAGGCCTTGAGATTGAGGGCTGCACTAGACAAGACCGCGCGCGATCGCACCGAACCGAAGGACTGATCGATGTCCATAGTTTCTTGATACCGTGTATTCAGCATTGCGGCACCGGAATTGTGTTTTTGCCAGGTTTTGATTGATTTTGTAAAGCAAGGGCATAGCAAACAGCATACTGCATGGCATATCGAGCCTGTGCTCGGCGCGGCATCCGACCCTCAAACGCCTGAAACTCTCCCCTGAACTACTGCGCACAGATATCGTGTCGGGTAGAATCCCTATGCGGCTGCGGCGAGTTTTGCTTCCCTGCGCGCTTTGTGCTATTCCAGTTCATCAATAAGTGATATCTATCGAGCAGCAAGGGCACATACCGAGCCAACCAGTGCGAAGCGAGCGTTGCGGCGGAACTGGATAGATGTGAGCACAGGAGGCCCCAAAGGCAGGGCGTGTATAGTCAGACCTTAGAGTCAACCTGTGATATGTGTGCGTGAGCGAACAAATTAAGAATTTTGTATTGACACGACTTACACCCTTCAAGGACCGTGTACGACCAGCAATGGGGCGCTTGATGCCATTCTTGTGCGCCTACGATCCTCCAATTAGCACCGCGTGATTCAGTTCGTTTCGTTTCGTTTGCGGACCTTCTTGTTCTGGTTGTGATTCGTGTGGCTGTAAGTTGCAGAGACATAAGTGTCGCATAGCACGTCACGACGACGAAACGCACTTCTTAGACTTGGCCATTGCTGAGGGTCGGAAAAGTGAGTCCTTGAGGGATTACGTGAACGGAATCGTACAGCCACCAACTGTGCAGTATGATGCCGAAATCGACCGCGAGCTGAGTCTAGAGCGTGACGTAATACAAATGTCACCTGACTGACGGCAAATTCCTTGATCCTCATTGGCTTTCGGGAACCGTCTCCGAAAGTCGACCCGAAAGACTGTATCGGCCGATCGGACATAACTTTCCTTCTGTTGCAGACTCGAGGTACTTAACCTCATTCTTACTTCTAACCACGCATCTTCTGACACGTTATCCTCAACTAATGACGAACGCCCCTCGAACTCTCTACGATAAAATCTGGGACGACCATGTCGTGTAGAGCATTTTGTTCACAGCCGATCCCGTACCTGATCATCCTCTACAGCGACGTCCAGGACGACGGCCTCGCTCTCCTCTACATCGATCGGCACCTGGTGCACGAGGTCACCAGCCCGCAAGCTTTCGAGGGCTTGTCTGTGCTTTCTTTCTTCCTATCTCGTTCCTGGCTCTGATATGACGTAGGAGGAATGCGGGGCGACCTGTGCGGCGACCAGACTGCACGCTGGCTACGGTCGATCACAACATCCCGTGAGATATTTCCCTTCATACCGCACATCTCATTGGCTGACATGTTGAAAGGACTGTGTCACGCAAGAACTTTGTCTCTGTTTCGTCGTTCATCGAAGAGCCCGACTCGCGTGCCCAATGTGCTGCCTTGGAGGACAACATCAAGGAGTTTGGATTGACCTATTTCGGTATGACCGACAAGCGACAGGGCATCGTTCACGTTATCGGCCCCGAACAAGGATTCACTGTGAGCATATTACGAGCTTTCGATTTCACGCCTAATGCATGTTAGCTCCCCGGTATCACCTGCGTTTGTGGCGACTCTCACACGTCTAGTCCGTTCTTCCTTGCACCACGTCAAGTCCGTCTGATCTTTTCTTCCAGCACACGGAGCATTTGGGTCTCTCGCGTTTGGCATCGGCACGTCCGAAGTAGAGCACGTGCTCGCAACACAGACGTTGCTGCAGAAGAAAGCAAAGAACATGCGTATCACGGTCGACGGAGAACTGCTCGACGGGGTTAACTCGAAGGATGTTATTTTATACATCATCGGTCAGATTGGCACAGCCGGAGGGACAGGATGTGTGATCGAGTTCGCTGGCTCTGTCTTCCGCAACTTCTCCATGGAGGCAAGGATGAGCGTGTGCAACATGAGTATTGAAGGTGGTGCCCGGGCTGGCATGGTTGCACCGGACGAGATCACGTTTGAGTATCTCCGCAACCGACCGCTTGCACCGAAGGGAGAGGCCTGGGATCGCGCAGAGGCTTACTGGCGAACGTTGAAGACCGACGACGGCGCAAAATTCGATATCGAGGTCAACATTGCTGCGGCGGACATTATCCCGACCGTGACTTGGGGCACTTCGCCCGAGGACACTGTGCCCATCACAGGCTCTGTTCCCGACCCATCGACCTTTGCTGATCCCGTAAAACGCTCCTCTGTCGAGCGCTCCTTGGCCTACATGGGGCTCAAACCTAACACGCCCATCGAGCAAATCACAGTCGACAAGGTGTTCATCGGGTCGTGCACCAACAGTCGCATCGAGGATTTGCGTTCCGCCGCCAAGATCGTGCTTGCCGCTGGGCCGGATGCCAAAGTTGCTGCGAATGTCGATGCGATGGTCGTTCCCGGGTCTGGACTCATCAAGAAACAGGCTGAGGCGGAAGGTCTCGATGCCATCTTCAAACGTGCTGGCTTCGATTGGCGCGAAGCTGGCTGCTCGATGTGTCTTGGCATGAACCCTGATCAGCTCTCCCCCGGCCAGCGGTGTGCATCTACAAGCAACCGCAACTTCGAGGGTCGCCAGGGATCAGGCGGTCGCACTCATCTGTTGAGCCCGGCCATGGCAGCCGCTGCCGCCATGACCGGCAAGCTCACTGACGTCCGGAAATTTGTCGGAGCCAACATCGAGTCGGCCCCCAAACTCAAGGTGATGAGTGCCTCTGAATTCTTGGATGATCCCGTTCTTCCTCCTCCGGAGCCGCAAGTTTCAGCTGCCCCCCAAACGCCAGGGAAATTGCCACCCAGTGAGGCCCCGTCCACTGTCCAGAAGTTCACCACTGTCAAAGGCATCGCCGCTCCCATGTACATCGAAAACGTCGACACCGACATGATCATCCCGAAGCAGTTTTTGAAGACCTTGAAGCGCACAGGTCTCGCCGACGCCTTGTTCTTTACATTGCGCAAGGACCCGCACACAGGCAAGGACACGGACTTCGTTCTCAACCGGGCCCCGTACAACAAGGCCAAGATCCTCGTTTCGACTGGCAAGAATTTCGGATGCGGCAGTTCGCGGGAACACGCGCCTTGGAGTTTGTGAGTCGCATGTGCTCCACAACAAATCCAATGCTGACCAGCTTCAGAAACGATTTTGGCATACGATGTGTTATTGCGCCGAGTTTCGCCGATATCTTCAAAAACAATACGATGCAGAATGGCATGTTGCCTGTCGCCATCTCTCAAGAAGAGTGCAAAGCATTGGCGGAAGATGCCGAGGCCGGGCTGGAGCTCGAGGTTGATCTCGAAAAACAAGAGGTCCGCCGTCCAAACGGGCAAGCTGCCATCCCTTTCACGATCGATCCGTTCCGCCGCCACTGTCTTTTGAACGGTCTCGATGACATCGCTCTGACTATGCAGCGGGCGGAGACCATCACCACCTTTGAGAAGCGCAGAAGCGAGATTTGGCCGTGGTTGGACGGATTTGGTTTCAAGGGCGCTCGGATACCAGTGGCGTTGACGAAAACGGCCAAATCGACGATGGATTGGTGAAGACGTATTCCACTTACATGCTGTTGTTGAAATGTCAAATGTATACTGGTTCTGGACACAGTACTCGCGATACATGCACCAGTTTCACTCCAACACCCATCCACAACCAGACACAAATACAGGCATGGTCCGTGCGCATAATAGTAGTCATTGTGATCAATCTTCGTCGCGGTGCCGATGCCCATATCGACGAGTCACGCTTTAGATCCGCCATGGGGTGCGGATATTCGCATTCACCGACAGTGGGCTGATGGTACAGCAGATAGAGAGAGCAAGACAGTGATACAAACGACGCCTGTAATGAACACCGACTGAGTTACACGCGATAAACCATCCAGCTGCAGCCACCGACCTTCATACAACCAAGACCAGAACAAGACTGATACTATCGTACTGTTTCCAATGTTTCCATGGACGTGACGCTGTTCCCTCGGATGACCTGCAGGCAGCAATTCAGCAAGGGGCAGATTTAGATGAATGGTGCTGCTGCATACCACAGTGCCGATGGGATGCTTTTGGGCAGGAGTGGTCTCTTCGGTAGCATCGTCGATGACCAGATTTAAGAAGAGATCGTAGCCGCGCAATGTACCGCTGACTTTGCGTCCTCCTTGCAAATGGACGAACAATTTTTTGTCCATGAACTATGAGCATCCGGACGTCAGAAAGACAGGGAGAGTGGATGGAGGTTATACCTTTTTCAACTCAGGCTGGGACGCTTTCGACATGGTGGCCAATACGAAGTGACTTTGTTTACATCAAAAATACATTTGATTGTTCACCTTCCAACAAGCCTCACCTCCTCCACGCTATCCCCACAACTCAGGATCTTATTGATCCTTGACGTCTACTTACAACAGGCTAGTCATCAAGTGCGTTCTCAAATTATGTCTTACAGTATCCTCATCCGCCTCCTTAGTTGATTTCCGAGTCCTGGGTCAAGCATGGCTGCTCCTGCTCCTCCACTTGCCACTCCATCTGGCAACTCTAGAGCCCGTGATTGGCCTCGAACAGAGCTGGGATCCTCTGCGTTCGGGGGAAACCCCAGAGGCGGTCGAGGTGGTGGTGGCGGAAGGGGAAGGAGCAGAGGCGGTCGTGGTCGAGGGCCGAACCCTAACTCCAACTCCACCGGCCACAGTAAGGACAATGGCGGTGCCGAGCCTTCGCATGCTTCGAAGAATGATAAATCAACGAACAACGAATCGTTGCCGCCCAAAGCGACACCGGCCAGTACGACATCAACACCGGATCCTAAACCTAAGCCATCTCCCAATCCTTCGATCTCGGCGCTGTCTAATACCACCACTCCTTCGTCGGGCTCGCGGCGTCACGGTCGTAAGCCATCGCGCTCCACACCATTGGTCGTTCCTGCGGTACTTGTGGGTGGACCATCTCCCTCGACCGTACTCCCTGCTACAGCGCCTGTCCCCCGACCTTCGAACCGCCGTCGCCGTTCACAGCAGAGTGCGAAGGGAGGAAATGGGGCTATCAGCACCGGCGGAAGTAATCTCAAAGTCAATGTACCGGCATCGGACGATAGCACCCTTCTCCGGCCGCAGAACAGACTCCTAGCGCCCCGCAGTGCTCCGCCTCCCTCAAAGGATACGCCTCCTCACTTGGCCGGATCATTCAGGCAGAATGACATTGATGCCTTTGTGGAACGAGTGCGAGCCTCTGCGATGGAAAGTAACCGCCCCAATACTCCAGGCAGTCACATCGATTGGGCTGGTGACGACGACGAAAGCTTGCCGGATCTTGATGATTGGGGTGTGAAGACCGTCACACAGGAGGAGAAGCCAGTGGAGCCCGAGCCCAAGGATAGCGTGCAAGCCCAAAAGGACATGATGATTTCTCCCATCATCGTCGATGGGCTGACTGCATTGCCGGATCCAGTTGCGCCCCCTGCAGATGTCAAAGAGGAGGCGGTGGTCCCTTTCAGTGCCGACGAGCAGCCGAGGATGGAAAGCACGCCTCCTCCGACGTCCCTCCAGCCGGCCGCTGAAAAATCCTCCGAGCCTGCCGTCCAGCCGGCGCCTCTTTCTGGGCTCGCTGCGTCCATCTACGCGCCGTCGAACTCTGATGATCCGGCAGAGACTTTCCATCCGACGCATCAAAGGGCCCATACCGTCGGCAGAACGTTTTCGAGGTCTGCGCACAACCTGAACCAGCGGGACACGAGGGGAACCAGGACGCCGGGAAACCAGCATGCCCGGACGCACTCGTCGCCCCCTGCTTCTGTGCGCAACCCACGGCCTCCGCACGCCAGACCCGTCATCACGGGAGCCGCAATTTCAAGGCTTGCGCGCACCATCGCCGCTCCAAGCAAGACCCCATGATGATAACCCCTCAATCTCAGCTCATCTTATCTTATCTCTGATTTCATGAACATGCTCTGCTCCTCTTCTCACCTCTGTGCCTATCATTATTTTTTGTGTACTTTATAGGATGGCTCGGGATATGATCACACAACAACAATGAATGCTTATTTTTCGTCTGAGCTGAAGTACGACAATTCCAGTCCGATTGCCTTGATCGGTTTCGCCGAGTTGGACAGGTCAGAAACAACACCCACGCTAACCAGCGTCTGCTGCACACGGCCTTCCCAGAGCAAGGCGACATCCTGCTCACACAAAAACGTCAGAAAAAGATATCCCAGAGAGAAGCCAGCCAGCCACTCACCCGGTTCGTTGAAGCACGTGCTTTGAGAATCCCTCGCACCTGCCCACTCTCTCTCGATGTCAGAGGTGATTCGTCTTCACTATCTGCGTCGGCTCTCGAGTGCATCCACCATTCAGCACCCATCGTCCATTCGCTCTCATAGCTGTACACATTGAAGTCGAACCGAGAAGCAAGAGAAAGATCTCGCGACACTCGGCTGGAATAAGCGCTCGATATGTGGCCCAGCATAGGGTTGAACAAGGCCGTTATCGTCGTCGGCGCCTGAGTGGGCGGGCCCCTGGTTATCGTCGTCAACGGCGAAGAAGATGGTCCCGGGGCTTGGAACGATGGAGGACTTGATTCGGGTAATGTCGAGAATCGAAAACCAGTCGAAACTGAGGCAAAGATAGCGTATCAGTGCCTTTGAACATGTATGACGCAGGTGGGAAATTGTACCTCCACCGCTTTTCTCTCTTGCGCTGAAATAAAACTCGGCCCCAGCCGAAACGCGTCCCTTCAGACCCCCCTCGATCGCATCCTCCTCGTCGACCCGTTTCACCCCGGTCCGGGCAGCAGCCTTCTCCGGATCGTCTGAATTCTCCTGGGCCATTCCGAGCTTGCCGAAGTTATGCAGCACTCGCACACCCCACATGCTATCGTCTGCGCTCCAGGTGTATTCTGTGCACCACTTCCCCACGTCGTGTTGGATGTTGACGATCAGGTTGCTGACGTTCGAGTTACGCGGTGCAGGAGAGTTGATATTGGAAGGCGGATGAGAGATAGCGGCCACGAGAGCCTGGACGGTCGGTGATAAACGCGTCGAGTAGAGCGCGTCAAGACGGCCCGTGGGGAGATAAAACCGGCCATACATGAGGTAGTCTAGTGTTCCGGTTAATGACTGCTCCTCCCTCCTCTTGCATGAGGATAATTAGATCACACACCACGGTTGTTTACTAGCTCTCCATTGAAAAACTCCTCTTCCTTTGGTTCGGCACGGCGCGGCTGGTCGTAAACGCGGAATCGCTCAATCATATCCTTGAACCGGACATTCCCGGAATTCTTGACATCGAGATCGCAAGAAGTGAAGATGTAGCCGACAGAGCCACTGAGTGAGGGCATGGCAGTCATGGAATATGTTGTCTTGAAGAGAGAATTGGGTGACTTGGACACCGCGAGATGGAGCCCTCTGGGGACGGAGAAATCGAGGATCGCTGATTCACTGCATGAGTAAGAAGCAGAACAAGAGTGGTGTCGAGCAAACCATTCGAAGACCGAGTGATGTTGGCGTATAGATTGTCCTCGTTCCAGCCTGTGGCCTTGTAGTAGCTGCGAAGGACGTATGAAGCAAAAGGGTGCATGTGCACGTGATCTGATATTGATACGCGCAGGCCAGGTCATACGTATGTAGTATACACGGAAATAGATACTTGAGGATAAACTTGAACGATACAGCGTTACAGAAGGAAGGGGACACAAGAAAAATCAGTGGGTAGGAAACGCTTCAATGACGGCACCAATGCTGGGTCTTTCCGCCGGATTGCTATTCCAACAGGTCAACATCAGAGACCACAGAGCGTCACTAAGCCCGCGTTCCAGCACACGTTCTGAGGTCGGACGCTTGGGCTGTATGCCTTGAGAAGACTTGATTACGACCTCGGCGGTGTGTTTGACCTCCTTGTAGGGATGTTCATGGGTGAACAGCTGATAAAACCTCAGCGTGAGTCCGTTTCCTGCACTACAGGCATCCAGACTCACCTCGAGCACAGTCATACCAAAAGCATAGATGTCTGAGCTGGCAGAGAGAACTCCTTGCCCCACACAGAGTTCAGGTGCAAACCAGCGATACGATTCACTGACGCCCCGACTCTGACTGAAAGGAATCCCGGTGATGTCTTCAACGATCTGACCGGCGGGTTTGAGCCAGACAATCCACAAGCAGAGGGATACGTACACAAGACAATCCAAAATCGGCGATTAGAGGGTTTCCTAGATTATTGATTGCGATGTTCATCTACAGAATGTGAAAACATGACAGGAATGGTCGATCTTTTGACCCACTGCTTTGATATCCCCATGCACAATGGGAGGTGTCATATTGTGCAAGATCTGAATGCCAAGGGCAATACCTTTGGCCTATCAAAAGGTCAAACACAACAATCGAAAGTCGCCTTAATAAAACTTGCCAATTTGAGGTAGTCCACCGATAGATCGTGCCGTTTAACATATTGGATCGCCGACCCGTTAGCTTGCCATGGGCTGACGATGTAACTTGGGTTGCAACATGAGCGTCCATTCGTATTGGAAAGAGTGGGAAGCCCTTACGGAAATGGCCCATCCGATTGGCTGAAACCATAAAACGGCAGGATGTATTTGCCTCCGTCACGCTTCCACAATTCTTTCCAAATTTCGCATTCACGTTCAAATCTCTATCACATCGTTGTTAAAAGAGGAATGATGCCGACAACAGACCAGCTCACACGTGCACTATCTGGACCGGCGTTGACAGCTCTGACAACCTTGATCGCCACTTTTTCGCGCTGCAAGTAAAGGCCCTCATAGATGTCCTGGAGAATGATGGGTGATCATGGAAACGAAGGAGCACGTGCGTGAAACTGACCATAGAACTGGTACCGCTCACCGGAAATATCCCGCTTCTTATCACTTCCCCAGAGCGCAGATTGAAGTCGGGTAAGAGCTCGCGACTCTGCAGCTGCAGATCGTACAGGTTGCTCGATAGCCCGATATGCGACTGGTCTTTGACTTTGGTTTCGCGCAAGAACTAGGTACATCCCGTCAGTGCTCAGATTCTCCAGGCAACATACAGAATAGACTCGCCTGCTGCATCATTTCCATTGTATGTCTAACATCGGAGGACTGCGACTACGAAAGACTGTCAGTAAGAGGTCCTGGAACATCGTCTCCAGCGCGCACCTGCCTCTCTGCAAGAGTGTTTTCGTGGATCTTCTCTAGAAGATCGTAGATGATCGTCTGTGAGTTCGTGATGTCCCCTAGATATCCCACGAGTTCTCGATGATCTTGTTTGGAAGATTCCTTAAACTGAGCTTGCCATTCGTGTAGCTCAGTGTGCGAAGCGATCTGTTCTTGAAGTAAGGATCCAATACCGAACCTGAGGACAACCCATGCCTGGAACGCATTGAAGCAGTCTGAGAGGATGCTGTGACACCTCGCTATCTCGACCGAGATATCGTATTGGTGGAGGAACGCCTTGAGTTTCGAGAGTTGTACACACTTCTCCATGATAACTTGCACGTCGCCCAGGCATCTGACGGCGATCCGTCAGTTCATCTTTATGGTCTCTGACCATCGCACGCACTTCGTGAACGATTTCAGGGCAGCATCGACATTTTCATTCATAGTATGCCTCTCGTTGATGACGAGGAGCATCCGATGGCATCTAGTGCTCAATTGTGCCGCCGTGGCCCTTGTAAGAGGAATCGGTTCAGATGAATGGTCTCGGGCGCGTCGCAGACGAAGACCGACTTGTTCTGAGACACATTCTGGCAGAGCGTGATGATATTGGACACGAGTTGTGCAACTGGTGCCAGGGCCGGGACTGGTGTGAACTGCGCTGTGGCTTGAATGGCAGCTTGGACCAGAGAGGAGGAGAGAGAAGGGAGTTGAGGAACAGACGGCCGATCCATGTTAGTGCTTGGGTTTAGTTCTGACGTTATGGCGGTGGGTGGGAGGTACAGTCGGTTGTCCCAAGGACTTTAAGAATAGCATGGCTGTAGCGAAGGCTGTAGAAGGCTGTTCGGAAGGATGCAGATCCATCAGACCTTGCATATAAGCATCAAACGCGCGTCAAGTAAGCTGTATGGAATTGGCATCTACTTGTGTATTCGTTTTGGATAAAGTGTCCTGTACTGTACTCCATGACAAAAGAGCAGTGTTGCAGTGGACGCGAACTGAGCGACTTCGCGCAAGCCTGTACAACAGCCTTTAACTGCCACTATTGCCGCTGATCCATCTGACGCAATCCCGAAAGCCATAACCAGAATTCATTTCCTGGCTGATATAGTGTTTTCATGCCGTCGCATGAAGATGTACGAAAGGATGGACGGTTCCATGATGCGAGAAGTATTGAGATGCTGAAGGAACAAACGATGATTGATGTTTAGATATGTAGTGCCAGTCCAATTGTGAGCAGCAGATCAATTCGAATTCACTGTCGACTCAAAGGATTCTGAAACGCCTGAGGAAGAAATACCCTGCTCCAGACAAGATCCCTCCAACATGCCCACTGGAATTAGAGGTTCCGGCCTTAATAGGACGGTTCAGGCTTGAGCGTGGAGAAATGGTAATGGACGAACCTTATCCCAAGCCGTGAGATACGTCTCATACGAGAAGAGGCCTGTGACCGCCAGCCAGATGGGAACAGGCACGATTCCATAGATAAGAAGTGTCATACGAGGCTCTGTGAAAGCAAGAAAAGAGAGGATGGAATAGATGGCACCTGGAGGATGGTCAGGGCAATCAATATTCAGAGCCTACCGAGAGGCTGACCACTAGCGCCCACAGAGTATCGATCTCTGCCCGTAGTTATCTGATCGTATGCAATCGAAAACAGCTCACTCAGTGCGCCGCCTGAGGAGTTTAGCCTTCCAGCCCAGGGCGAAGCCCGACAGACGCACCTCCGAGATAGAGGAACAGAAAACGACGACTTCCCTTACCGCAGTTTAGGACAATTAGGACAATTAAATCGAAATGAGAGATCTCACTAGTATCTGTAGAACCAACGGTGCCATAAAGTAAAAGGTGAAGCCGTTGAACAAGATGTGAGTAACATCCGAGTCGTTGTGAGTGAACATAGAAGTAAACAAGGTCCATCTAGAAGAAGAGCCAGTCAAAACTTCGGGGCATACAAGGCGCTGATCGGCTTACATGCGCCCGGACGAGATGTTATGCCAGTTGGCGTAGAAATGTTTGCGCATCATGGTGTATAGACGGGGGTCGCGTTCGACCGTCTAAGGCAAGTCAGACAGATAGAGATGGCAAGCGGTGGAGAATGGGACCAGCTTCTGTTTGGCCCACCAAGAAAGTCCGAAGATGGCACCATTCAAACCAATGATACCCCAGAAGATCGTATTTTCAGGAATGTCGTCTAAGAAGCGAAAGTAACCGCGACTATGGCGGTAATTCCGGTTACGACTCGTGGAGGAGAAAATCCTCTTGGAGTATTGGGTCCTCGCATTGGACAAATTCAGGGACTGATGGGTCCAAGCGCGTCGAAGTCCGATCCTGTGCACGTTGTGAAATAACATGCTTCAGTGGCTGTGACGCCACGCTTGTATATGATTGGTATAGTGACAAGTGACTGGTTAACGGCTTTTGCCTCCGCTTTCTTTCTATTTTACAGGCGAGTTGCAGTCTCGCGTTCTCGGTGACCACCAATCCATCTTGAACTCGGGACCACACATCGCCTCTTATTCTTCTCTTGTCTCTTTTATCTACCCTTCCACTTCTGCTCAAAGAAACGTCTGCGGCTCCCCGTTACATTCTCCCATAATCCTCATCTGAACGTAATCGACCTATCTATCGCTTACCATGACAAGCACCTCACCAAATCCGCGCGCTTCCCTTCTATCCGGACTCCGCACCGGAGGCGTCCGCTCTGCGTCTGCGACCATTCCACACACTGCTGCTCCCGGCGGGTCATTCAACGTCCCACGCTTAGCCCCTCAACTTCACGGGTCCAACTTTCCTGAAGAAGAGGACGATCAGGTTCTTGAAGTGCCTGCAAGTTCCGTCTTCAACAACCATCGCGTACCCCGCGCTCCCATGACTGCCGCCGTAGATGGGCCTGACCACAGATTCCAACAACAACAACGGGGCATGAACCCTAACAGCGTTCCCTTCAGCCCGGCTTTCATGTCACAACAACAACAGCCCAATCCCAATCAGGCGCAAGCCTTTCAGATGCAAATGATGCAATTAGAGTTGATGAAGATGCAGGTGGGTGGCATCGTCATGCCCGATGACTGAACCTTGATGCATCTCCCTAGCACGCACAAACCCAGCAATATCAAGCCCAGCTTTTGGCCCAAGCTCAACTTCAGCTGCAGGCCCAGCAGCAGCAGCAGATGCAGATGCAAAGTCCCAGACGTGCCAGTTATAATCCTCCGGCGACTGCGGGTCCGCTCACGTCTTCCTTTGATTTGCGATCTGCAACGCTCAGCGCTCAGATGCGCCGCGCCTCGCAGGGCAGTGCTCTCGATGAACCGGTGCCGATGACGGCCGCTCTGGGAGGAAAGTTTGGTGCTCGACCTGTCAATATGTCTGGTCGCCCTGGTGGAGACGAGTACGAGGATATCTCATCGGCGCCAAGTACTACTGTTATCAGTGGAGGCACCTCTTTGGGTGGTGGAGCCAGCGCCGGAACTCCATCGAAATCCGATACAGCTTCGAATTGGCGGCGCGGAGGCAATAACAATTCTGTTCTCAGCGGGAACAACCGCTCGCCTAGCGTGAAGATCACACCACCGCCGATCGAGAAGCGGACCTCGCCGCCACCTCCAGCTGCTCTGCCCAGCAGCAAAGTCCGCCCGATGCCTTTGCGTCTTAATGCTGCAGTGTCCCAGCCGATGGCCAGTGTTTCGATCGACACCAACGAAGCTGCCGATAACGACGATGTCGATGCTGAATCAGTCAGCTCGCACAAGTCGTCCAACTCGAACCCGACGACGCCTCCGTCCGCTTCTTCGACGGGGATCCCTCTCTCACCCCGAGAGGAGGCAAGCCGGAAACTATATGAGGGGCTGGGGATCGAACGTTCTGCTCCAGTTCCGACGGTTGTGATCGAACAGCCGCCGATGACCGCTCCGCTGTCGAAAATGGGGAGTCAACCTGTTCGCCAGCCGCGAGGGCCTCCATCGGGTGCGGATGAACTGGGTCCGAAGAACTTTGCGGCTCGAATTCGACGGCAGGCGATCGGGGGCCTGATGAACTTGCGCGAGAAGCGAGACAGCGTGGTGGAGGCGTTCTGAAGAACATGCTGCTTGAATATTTAACATCGCGGCATCCTATACATTCATTCAGCTGAAGTCTGCTTTTGCAACTGTTTGTTTTGCGCTGACCCGCGCGAGCTGTGCTTGTCTGCCCGATTCTTGCAGAGTGCTTCCTGTGGCTTGCCTGTTTCAGTTTACATCTAGTGTATACAGAGCAGCATGTACGAGTTTTGTTGTTGTAATGAAACGCTTTGCGTCAGATACATACATATGTATTATACACCAAGAAAAACAGCAGCAGTCATCTACTTGCATCGCTGGGCAACGATGGCTTTACCGTGTTCCTGGTGGACAGTCAGTCAGCTGCTGCCATTTCTACATGCGCGAATGCAACGCACCTTCCACTCCTCCTGGCTGATCCAAAGCTGGTGGAAGGTGCCCAGACTGCCTAGCACACTACCACCGAGCCAGCCACCGAAGCGTCGCTCTATCGGGTTACCTGGAGCATGGATTTTAACATGCGGGAAGGACCGGCCCAGCTCGCTGTGAAGTCGCTCGCTGAGTCCCGAGAAAAGGCTCCCGCCGCCTGTGAGAACCACATTGCCAACCAACACCGGGCGCAACTCGGGATCGCATGCCCTGAGAGAATCGGCGATCAACGCCGTGATCGTTTTCGGTAAGTGGGGATTGGTTGCCTAAGAGCGGGTCAATTTACATAGCCTGCGGGAAGCGAGAAGATACCGCACCGTCAAGTGAGGTGAGTGGTGGAAGAATTGCTCGCCCACTGTAAAACGTTCTGATCCGAACCAGGCAGTCTGCCCCGTCGGAAACTCATATTGACGAGCCGGTTTACTGGCAACAACCCTGAAGCGAGAAAATAAGGAGGAAGTCGAGATCCCAGCTTGGAGACATACTGATCGTTCCACCCTTGTTCGACCACACCTCCAACACTCTGAAGCCATTCTTCGACCTCCCGGTCCTCATACCAATGTTTCCAAGTCTGTGTGGTCCCCGGAAGACGATCCTGACGGAGAGTGTACTGTGGAGGAGCGCCAACTTCCACGGGCTGGCGAAACAGTCAAACGATTCAAAAGTAAACAACCGTCTCAGCTCACCTTCTTGTTTGCGATCAATTGGTGTGGGTACAGTTCGATTGCACTTCGTTGAGGTGTCGGCGAACTGAGGATGTGTCGAGCATTTGCTTGGACCAGTCCCGGCAACGGAGAATATGCGAGTCCTAGTGTCAAGTTGAGCAATGAGGAGTTGGTCGCTAGGCACATGAGATTGACCTTTGCGCAGAACAAAGCCGTCTACAATGGGTGTCACACTGGCCATGGATTTCCCTACATCAATGACAAGGGCAGATCCTTTTCCAGCCGCAAAGCTATGGACGAGACTTGAGCACCTCCATCGAGCCAAGCCAGCAAAACAGACTAACGCGTTGAGAACGCCTGTGTTGGCGATATAGAATGCTGGAACCTTGAAGTCTTCAAACATAATCTCCGCCATGCGTTCCCTGTTTGCCGGCGTGTTCCAGGCCGGTTCTGTGACCAATATTGGGTGTTCAGAGGGATTGCAGCGCATAACATGAGTGATAGCATGTCGAATCAAAGCAGCAGTCGCCTCAAAGTCATGTACTGATCAGGATTGTCGGTGCACCGTCGCTATGGAGAGCCAGGATAGACGCACTCAAACCATCCTGGATAGGATTAGAAATCTCCATGCCCTCCCTCCACACTGACGGCCCGAACTGTCCCATGAACATCTTCGCGATTTTTCTCGACGGTATGCTTGTATCAGGTTCATCCGAGGCGTCTGGCATCGCGGCGTCGCTCTCTGGTGGTGCATGCAGGAACCCAAATGTGGTAGGAATGACGGCTCTGGGTGTGTCGTCCCCAGCGTAGCCTACGCGTACAGAAGAGGCGCCGATGTCGACAACGAGCGCAGAAACTTCATCTGGAGGAGCAGACTGTGAGCGACAGCAGCGTCGGAGACGAGTTCGACGCGCCTCCACCGTAATTCACCATGGCACGAACCAGAGAGTTTCCTTTTTGGCACGTATAAACTCGTGACGTCGTGATGCCGCGTCTGTGACATGTCAAAATTTTGTTCAGTCTCGGACATCGCCCACCTATGGCTGTGGCCGACGCAAAATCGAGGACCAAGAAGCGGAAGCAAGACGCTCGTGATGAAGACGCTCCTGCTGAGACTGCGACTTTTTTCGCTCCGGAGTCGAATCTTGAAATGCTCAGTGAGGACGAAGGAGCCGAGGACGCTGAATCCGACGATGGGCATGTGGACGACTTTCCTGAGATAGATGCTGGTAGTGACTCCGAAGATGGATCCTATGAGGGGCTAGACGAAGATGAGGAGGAGGAGGGAAGCGAAGGATCAGAGGACGAAGACGAGGATGAGATCTTCGAAGACGACGAGGATTCAGACGATTCTCTCAGCCGCGACATCTTTCCGAAACCAAAAACAATAATATCAGACATTACTGGGAAGCCAAAACGCGTCTACCCCGAAATCGAGCCTGATTACGACTCTGATTCCTCGACGGAGGACGTACGTCGATGCCTCAATGTCGCCTCTCACTTGTCTGAACGGATTCTAGACCCAGAATCGTGTCGGAGATGTGCCCATGCATTGGTATGATGACCTGCCTCATATTGGGTATGATATGAACGGAAAACAAGTCCTGCGTCCCGCGCGCGGAGATGAATTGGACAAGTTTCTGTCGACCGTGGAGGATCCTTCCGCTTGGTAGATTCATTTCCCGCTCTCGGATGCCGCGGCACCTCATCGCTTGTTTCTAGGACGTCCGCTTTCGACAAGACTGCTCAGATGGACAAGTCGTTGTCTTCTGAAGAGCTGGACATCATCCGTCGCTTGTACGCCAATGAAATGCCCGATGCGGATTACGATCCGTATGAGCCGACGGTGGAATGGTTTACTGGTAAAGGCAAAGAGGAAGTCATGCCGCTTTCTGCTGCGCCTGAACCGAAACGACGATGGGTTCCCAGTCGATGGGAAAAACAAAAGGTACACAAACCAGTTTTCTTTGGCTCGACTAACAATCGCGCAGGTCATGAAAATTGTTCGCGCAATTCGACAAGGCCGGATTCTCCCCTCCAAACCGAAAACGACTTCGAAATTGGAGTTCTACTCTATCTGGTCTGAACCCTCCAGCTCGCATGCTCCTCCTCTTCCAGCTCCCAAGCCCCGCCTACCGACCAACTCCGAATCTTATAATCCTCCAGAGGAGTATCTCCCAACTGAAACTGAAAAGACGGAGTGGGAGGCATTGGACCCTGAAGATCGAGAACGCGACTATCTACCCCAGAAGTACACGTCTCTGCGACTAGTACCTGCCTACGACCGCTTCATCAAGGAGCGGTTCAGTCGCCAGCTTGATCTGTATCTGGCACCCCGGATCCAACGCGTCAAACTCAATATCGATCCCAACTCTCTGATACCCAAGCTGCCCAGCCCACAGAGTTTGAAGCCGTTCCCGAACTACAAGTCTCTGAAATTTGCTCACTTGGCTCGGGTTCGATCGTTGAGCATCAGTCCAGATGGGGCCTGGGCTATCAGTGGTGACGAGAGCGGTGTAGTGAGCCTATGGGAGGTCAACGTCGGCCGACAGGTCAAGCGGTGGAAGTTCACCGGGAAGATCGGTGCGCTGGATTGGTGCCCACGAGTTGATGTCAGCTATTTCGTTGTCGGAGTGTGAGTGAATCATTCGACGGTGACTGCGTCTACGGCTTATGACGTCCTCAGCGAGGAGACGCTGCATTTCATCGTTCCCCCGAATGTTCCGTCGACAATACTGGCCTCGACACAAAACCTTTTGGCACCTGCTACTCTCCCCGCGGCTCCAGAGACGCCATCTCTTGTGAAATGGGTCACCGCGCCGACGAGCACGTGGTCGACCGATACACCCATCCTGACCGTGCACCTCCCCTCAGCGTCAGGACTGCCGAAACAAATCACATGGCACAGAAGGGGTGATTATGTAGCCACAGTCTGTTTGTCGTTTTTCTGGCCTGCCGGAATCTGTCTGACTGTCTTCCACAGCGAGTCAAGGCACGCAATCTAGTGTCTGGATGCACCAGATTGGCCGCCGACATTCTCAGGCTCCGTTCAAGAAGATCAGGGGTGCCGTTCAGCTGGTGCTTTTCCATCCAATGAAGCCCCACTTCTTTGTAGCAGTAAGTAAACGCCACGTGCTGCCGTTGTTGCCGACATCGCTGACCCGCGATCATCAGACGCAGCAATATGTCCGCGTTTACAATCTCGCCGAGCAGACGCTCCTGAAAACATTGGTTCCTGGGATCAAATGGATATCGTCGATGGACGTTCATCCCTCCGGCGACCATCTTATCGTTGGCGGGTACGATCGCAAGCTGTGCTGGTTCGATCTCGAACTGAGTGACAAACCGTACAAGATCTTACGGTATGTCGTCTTCCGGTGCGAATCCAACGTGACTCAACAGGACCCAGGTATCATACTCGAGCCATCCGCTCGCTGGCCTTCCATCCATCGTACCCTCTATTTGCGTCTTCGTCGGACGACGGGGCGATACAAATTTTCCACGCCCGAGTCTTCAATGACTTGATGACTGATCCATTGATCGTCCCCTTGAAAATTCTCAGGGGACATTCCGTGAAAGACGGTCTGGGCGTCCTCCAGCTAAAATGGGTCCCTCGGCAGCCGTGGCTGGCCAGTGCTGGCGCGGATGGGACTGTGGGCGTTTGGTGTAGTTAGTTAGACATCTGATGCCATCATTGATCTCTATCTTCTCGACCACCTTGAGTCTAAACTGTGTTCATGGTGCAACGAGCGACGTAACAACGCTCCACTCCACTCACATCAGTTTGTATTTGAGGTCCATCGGGTTCTATCTTCCGGCCGACTGCCCTCTGGCTCTCACGGATTTTCTCGTACGGCAAACGGAGATCCATCAGACAAAACCTTGTTGTACGCAAGTGCTCTGTTCGTCTTCAAACGATTCTCGAGCAACAAATACATACCGCCAAACTCTGTCTACCCCTTCGGCTCACGTAAGGGAACTTTGCCCTCCGACTATTGACCGGAGTCGAGGCCCAGACTAAAGCTCGAAAGGCTGAACTTGCGTTTTACTTTCCATCGGTCGATCACATGTCGTCCATTCTCAAGCAGCTGCCGTATTTCGATGTAGAACACGGAACTCTCCCAGACAGATTGCGTCGTGTAACAGAAGTCTGCATGGAACCGAGCAAGCCCTTCATTATCGACGCCACAGTGTGGCGGGTAGCATCTTAAAATGTTCCGGTCGGATGTTACCTTTACTCAAAATCTTCTTCGAGCTAGGCCTCAGCGCGTCTGCTCTTCTCTCTACGCTCGCTCCCACCCTCGCTCGGCCATGGTCAATTGGTCTGACCCCTCTGAAATCGTCAAGGACTCCGGTGAGCGCTCTCTGATCACTCGCGATCAGGCTAATACGAGGGCGAAGATGCGTTCTCAAAGATCATTTTCGCGTTCTTTGGGGTCCAGGTCTGGGAGCTATTCATGACCTGGGGATTCGAGTGGTCCTTGCTCACTGGACGGAGAAAGTTCCGGTGGCCATTGGTTCGATTTCCTGCATCACCCGTTGAGAGTCATGTTGATGCAGCGCACTAGAGTACATCGACATTCCCTCCCACCGGAGACCGACTAACCCGTACTCAGTCTTCTTCTTCCTTTCCCGCTACTGCATCTTGTTCTCGATCATCGGATTGTGGGCGGTTTCCCCCATCGATTGCACTGGAGCTCACGGTTTGTTAGAATGATCGCTTTGACGAGCGACCATCCTGTGCGTCCTGCCATGCAATGCGCATTGACAGTACCGTGACACGCGAGCCAGATAAACTGCCAAGTATTGTTTACCTTCAATTCGGTGGGCCCACCAATTGAAAATGTGTCTTCCATTTTTCATGATTGGTTAGTGGAGCGGGAACATGGCCATCCTGAGTGCCTCGACGTCTCTCATGCTGCGCACGCGAGTACCTCCCGACTGACATTCCACGGCTGCGGCTAATCCCGAGTTCGCAGCATTGCGCTATGGGAGCGGAATCGGCGTGTTGTGATTCCCCTAGTTGCCTTGGCTCTCGGGCACTGGGGACTCTTATATCGCACAATCTTCGTCGTACAAGCCGTCTGGGATTCAGACTCGCAAGTCTGCGTTGTTGTCGGGACCAAGTCGTCGCTCCTCAACGTCACATTCTTCTTCACGATCGGCTTCGATTTCACCATCCTTGCCACCACGGCTGGCGCGGTCGGTCCAGCCCCTTCCATGCCCCGATTCGTTCAGCTCAGTCTTTCCTGCCAGCTGATCTCCCGGCATTCTGCGCGCACGGATCTATGGAGATTGCTGTTTACCGATGTAGGTTTGTGCGAGGACCGAGTGTTCCGGCTGAACGCTTCTAGGGATTGGTCTACTTTATTGTGACATTTTGCATGAACTGCGTTCCAGCAGTCCTCAACCTGTTGGATCTCAACTGTGCGTCGTGTCGTTTGTGGCTCCTGTCCCCGCTGTGCTCATCCAGCTGACCACAGCTCCAATGAATGTGTAAGTGGTCCCACGCCGCATCGATTTCTGACAAACGGCTGGTCTCAGCATTGCTACTGTGCGTTGTCGGACTTTCGCATATAACCACCGCCCTCAGCTGACACACTCCCCAGATTCCCGCTGGCACAGTCTCGTGAGTCATCCCAAACGGGAAAGCGTCGACTTTGCACTCAAATCCGGCAGCTCAATTGCGGCTTGCCGGGCTGTGATGCGCCTGCTCGACTTCAACTCTGACCTGTACGTTCAGTCGATGGCTGCTGTTCTGCCGTCGAGCGATCCCAGGCACAGCCACATGCCCTTTTCATTGCCCACAGCCCCGAGATTCGCTTTTTCGCGCCCAGACGGGGTTCTGGTCACGACCGAGCACATCACCATGGCGGAATTCGCCCAGTTCGTCTCGGCTCTCCGCGCATGTCCGTTTTGCCTAACCTGTTCGCAGGTCCCCGACGCTGCCTGATGCGGCATACAGCAAGAATGACCTCCCGCGGTACGATCTCGAGGCCGCTCGCCGACACGGAATCGACGGAGATGCGATTTCGGTGCGTGAGGACACCACCGAGTACTCCGAATCCACCGCCACTTCGCGGTAGTATGGCTGGATAAAAACGCGTAATATGTATCATGTCGTTCGTTTGCTTTTGGTTCAATGTACAATCTTTCCTTGGGGCGCAGCGCAGAGTGTCCTTGAGAGCAGCAGAATACAAATCGGAGTAGACAAGACAGAGAGAGACCAGCACACGACAGGCAGCTCAGCGCCTGCGCTTCGATCGGCCTGCTTTTCTGCGCGCAGAGACGCCGCCTTGCCTGTTCATTCCCTTCGTGGAGGGCCTAGCGGACATGCCCTTCGATAACCGCCATTCCTCTCTCCTGGAACCACGAGGGCCGTGCGTGGAGACCTTTTTCGAGCTTTCTCCGTCGACTTGCATATCTGCGTAATTGAGTTGAGAAACATGTCGGACAATGGAGCGAGATAGACGACGGACCAGCATCTGCAGTCGTTGGTTCTCCGTCAACTGGAGATCGTTAGCTGCAGGTCGAGTCAAGGGCGCAAGTAAATGGACCTGGCATTTCCTCCTCCTCTTCATCCTCTCCCTCTTGCTCCTCAGGTTCCGGAGCAGCCTTGTCGACGATCGCGCTCAGCTTGGCATGCAGTCTATCGAGGCGTGCAGCTTCAGTCACGGCGTAGACACTATCCGTCCGCTTTTTCGACCGGTAGGCACGCTTTATTTTGGATCGGGTGGACTTGGCCATCTTCTAGGTATAAATGAGGGCGGATGGAGGGCAGAGTGCAAGCGACAAAAAATATGATCTCGATCAAACACGACCAAACGGCTCTCAAGAAAAGCCCAACGCGGAGGGGGGACGCGCGCGCTGAACGCGTCTCGGTCAAGTACGTTCTTGCCAGTTCTCAAAATAGAATGGATTGATACATCGGTGCTGAACAACAAAACAAAAAACGACTTGGGACAACGACTGCTCGGCGCGCAGGTGGTTTTGATCCAAGATAGATCTACTCAGACGGTGCCTCCCTGTGAAGGACGATGTGAGCTTGGATGGACGGTGGCAGGTCGCGAGAGAGGACTTATGATGTAGAGAACGTTATTACAGCTATCGAGTTGAAGTCAGTGGCCTGTCGACGCGAGACAGTGCTGCGCGTACCGAATGAAAACCTCTCCCAATGTGCCATTCGATTTTCCATCTTGGTATTCTTCGGTGTTGGCCAGCTGTGGGAGCAGATAGTGATTAACAAGTGCAGTCACGCATGTATTATACGAACTTGTAGATTCATGAAGCCATCAGTGCTGACCAGGAAGCCCTTGTACTCAAGCCCCCATTTTAGACGGACGAAGACGGGCTTGCCTGTCAGCTCTTGGAGGAAAGGCTTAGGGTTGACGGGGTTTACCTGGAAAGACAGGTCATTAAACAAGAAACGCACAAAGTCGAGACGCGTGCATTAGACATGATGGTGGTTGAGCTCAAGAGTCAGCACGTGAATGCGGTGATCGTCGATGGAACAGTATTCTCATCTTTCACCTGGACGCGTCGTTTAGTCTTTCATGTCGGACCGCGAAGGGACCTCTGGAGGCGGAGATGACGACCTTTCACTACCAAAGGCGACCGTGGCCAAGATGATTTCGGGTGCGCGCGTGGATGCGTTCCAGATTCTGCGCGCGGTCTCATCATCGCCTTCTGTGCTACAGAGTTACTCCCCAGCGACATCGTTTGTGCGAAGGAAACGCGGGATCTGGTGATAGAGTGCTGCGTAGGTGAGCCCTCAGCTATTGTCTTCTCCCCGTTTGCTCGCAATTTCGATTCAAACACTACCCGCCCAGAATTCATACACCTCATCTCGTCGGAGGCAAATGAAATCTGCGAACAGGAGTCGAAGAAGACCATCGCCCCCGAGCATATTATTGGTGCTCTCAAGGTTCCACAGCTGCGGTGTTTCCCGCATTATTTTTGAGCTGAACATGCCACCCAGCGGCTCGGATTCGACTCATTTACTTCCGAGGTCGAGGACGTTCTGAAGGAGCACAAGCAGCAACAGAAGGTATTTCATGGTCCCAAAACTATTCATGTACGCTCCCGAGTAACCCAATTTCCAGGACCGAGAAAAGAAGGTCTCGAAATTTGAGCAGTCTGGAATGACACCCGAGGAGCTTCAGGCCGCCCAAGAAGAGTTGTTCGCGGCTAGTCGCGCCAAGTTCCAGTCTACTGGACCCCAGCCCCCCGCAGCATAAGACCGATGGACCGCCTAAATGTATAGTGTATGTGAGACCACTGTAATTCTAATTGACTTGGACATCTCGCGTTCTCGCTCTCAGCTCTTCTAAACGGCGGATAGGGATGTCGCCATTCCACATATTCTCCACGGAAATGAGCGGGAGCCCTTCTTGTTGGATTATGAAGGAGCTGGACACGGACCCGTATCGTGTGGCTACAAGCTTAGGAGTTGGCAACTTGCGCAAGAACGTTTGACGATATGCTTGCCTTCATAGATGTCCCCGCCAGTCAAGATGAGTCCGGCAGCGAAGCCACCCAAGAAGCTGTTTCCTGCACCTTAGAAGCAGATTCAGTGAGCTGAGCACAAGCGCAGCCTCAAGCTTACCCGTCACATCGGCAATTTTGTCCAGATCTTGGGCAGTCCAGTAAGCAGGAATCCATTGACCCGGGGAGTTCCTTTTGAGAGCATAGGCTCCCATTTCGCCACTTCTGATTATTACAGAGCCAGAGCCAGCCGGGCCTACACCGAGTTCGAGGAACTTGGAAGCAGCCTGTTCGATGCGTTCTTTGGATGGCGGTAGGGGCATTGCTAAGAGGGACAACGCTTCTTCGGCATTTGGACTGCTCGAAAATGAATAATTTGCTGAAGACTCAAGCGTCAAATGACCTAAGAATGTCGATCCGAGGCAAGACTTGCACCAAAGAGTCCAGTTCTTCTGGAATACATCTGTCCTTGGAAAATACCCACTCAGCAACCCACATAAAAGGCTGAGGTAGGATCAACAAACTGGTATAGGCTCGTATAGCACAATGGGCTTCCAATCTGGAATCTCCTGGACCTCGTCCATGATTGCAATGGCGCGTGACGGAGAGCAAATGAAATGGAGCGTCTTCGGTCTGTCTAAACGTGTATCTGATGCAGCAAATAGTCGATCGGTCGTTTGGATAGGTCGGACTTGTTCTTACCGATAAGATCTCTTGGGGTTAAACGGACGCGGGGGGTCAAGTAGTTGAAACTGGGGGCAAAAGACGTCAGCCCGAAGGAGTCGGACACAGAGGTGTGGATTCAACCCTCTGTGATCTCCTTGATACGAGTTTATCGCCCGAGTGGTTCCTTGCGGCTGAGCACGATAGAACCACATATCTTCCCCGTATGTGGCGAGCTGCGCCTCCATTGCGGCAGGAAAGTCAGGACCTTTGTCGACAATCATTCCGATCTCATCCGCAGGTATCCAGACACGAGCTCCGACTGCAGCATAAGTCCCTCCTCCACCGATCTGACGAGCAAGGTCTCAGCAGGAAGTTGGTCATCGCGCAATAATTACTTGAGGCTCAATTTGACGCGGCTGAGGATTCAGATGCTTTCCATCGTCATCCAGATACTCAAACTCGTCGATTATGAACATTCCCAGGGTAACGAAAAGCATTGTGGGTGGATAACAAGATAGCGGTCGAGGGCAAGGTTGATTGATGATGTGATCTTATCACTTATCGCCTTTGCTTGCGTGTGCTTGGCTCACACAACAATTTTGGCATTCGACACCGCGAAATGAGAGTTGCTTTTCTATGAGCGGCGTCGCGTTCCCCTTTCCCCGACTTAAAGGGTCTCGGACTCTCAGACGAATCTTCCAGCCGAAAAGGAATTCCTCCGCCACCGCCTCCGCCTCCATCTCTGACCTATCCCTCGCTGTCTTCGCTCCCTCGGCCGACTCTCTCCGCCAACGAAACTTCGAACTCTTGTTGGAGTCATTGGACATCAATGGAAACCCTTCACGCGTTTGGAACAACTATACCAATGCTATTTCCACGCTAGGTTACGAGCGCCTCCCTGTCGAACTCCATCAGGAGGTCCTGCGGAAATGTACACCCACCAGCACACTTCTCCGCGCGAATGTTGCTCGCCGTATGTACGAGGGGAAGGCACCACCATCTCACAAGTATGAAGACCGATTTAAGACCATCATCCGCAACATGCGGCTGTCTGGCTACAAAGCGACGGTGGGGGATTACAACTTCATCCTGGAGCAGTTCGCGGCGGTGGGCCATCATACGGGTGCCATGAAGGTCTACTCGGAGATGAACACGGCTGGAATCGCACCACGCACGCGAACGTTCGGACTGCTGTTGCAAGCCATAGCTCATCGCCTAACCATGCCCGTGGCCGAAGTGCTAAGAGCAGAACGGACTCTCGTCACGCGGCGGATGGTGTCCGACCTCGTGAATGACATGAAAACGCATCGTATACCTTTTACGTCTGTAAACCTGGACTTGACGATGCGGATATTGAAGGAGACGACGGACTTGGCCGGATTTGAGGCGTTGATGAGATGGGGATATGGAATCGACCTCGCAAATCCCGACTGTCCTCCTCTGGAATACATTCAAGGCTCGGGCACCTTGTCCAATCCACAACCTTTTTCCACTGCGGCTCTCAATATGACGCTCGACACCCTGGGACGTTTGAAGAACATTCCTCGGATGGTCCAAGCGTTTGAGGTTCTGACAGCGCCACTACCAAAGCGACCACCATTGGAAGACGACGAGGAGGAACAATACAGCGTTCTCGCCAACGCTTCGTTCGTGACGCCGCATGCTTTGCCCAACACCACAACGTACAATATCCTCATTCGGCATTTGTCTCAGGCCGGACACGGGGTTTTCGCTAGGCATTATCTTCTCTGCGCGATGGAACTAGAGCGTACCACAAGATACTCTCTGCGATTAAACATCGAAAACCTCCAATTCGAGGAAATCCCAGCCCCACATTTCGCGATCAACCGAGGGACGTTGCTTTCCGTCTTTGGACACAGCAACCGTGATAGAAACATCGGGCTGATGCGCTGGCTTCATACCAAGATGCCCGATATCATTTCCAGAAAGCGGGGTGAGTTGCTCTTTCTGTCTCCCCTGCGGGAAAGGAGGAGGAGACTGGGTCAATTCCCGTACGACGACCCAAACTACATCCCGGTACATCTGCCCCCAAAGCAGACGCCATCCCGCGTTGACCCGAACATATTTGACCTCGACATTGACGACGAGCGCGGCCCCCCTCCTGCTCCGTCGAAACTTTTCAACCTCGATCTGCACATGACTCTCCTCCAACGCGACCTGGGTGAGATCGAGGCTTTGTACGAGCACGTGACAGACATCCTACACAAGAGAAGCATGCAACAAAAGGATCGGCTGGGCCGCAGGGTTTCTCGTGGAAAGGATTTGTACTTCCGGTCGACCGAGGGGCGGAAGCGAATCAGTGGATCTCAGTGGCAGGAGGTTGCTGGCTATCACAGACACGGGCAAGCTCGCCCCAAGCGGTTTGAGCATTATGTTATCGCTGAGGACCCCTCCCCGGCAGTAGAGGAGAAACCATAGCATCTACGTAGGGGGCGGAATTCGACTAATTCGGAATACAGCTTCCGCAAACTAATAAGGGTCGCGTGTGTGTGAGTAGGCAAAGTACACAGAGTCACATGGATGCCATAAACCGCTCACCAGTGTCACTCCGTTATTCTGGCGCGAAGTTGATTGCGATCGACTGAGCCCTCATAGCCACCATGAACATGTCTCCCTCATCCACAACAACGTCCCCCACCAGCAAAACCAAGAGCCTCGACAAAGCTCCTGGTTCAGACGCTCCCGTCGCCATTGTGCGGACAGAGCCTCTGCCGCCGCCGTCGCTGCCTGCGAAGCGCGGGGTCTCTCTGTCTAAAGCGGCGACTTCGGCAGAGCAGAAGAAGGCCGCGCACCGGCCAGGGAAACCCATCATCAACTGGTTCCAACGCAAGCTCGGTGCTGGGAGCTCGCTCGTCAAGCCGAAGCGTGCAGAAAACCAGCCTTTGGTTGGCCAAGGACGGGTACCCTCAACGATCCCTCTCCGGGTCTCCAACCGCATTTCCTCTGCACCTTTACCTCATGGCGGTAACAAGCATCTTTCGAAGCTAGATGCGGCAAAGAGGAAGACGATATCTTTGAACGAGGATGACGACGGGGAACTATACGTGAATGACATCGCCTCTGAACGTTCGTCGCTTGCAGGCTGGTCTCCAACGAGTGCACTCGAGGCAGACGAGGACGCTTCGGTGCGGCCGCTGCCCCCCAGTGTCCCCCCGTCACCATCTCCCTCATCGTCATCGTTCGCTTCGGACCCACGGACGTTCCGGAGCCTCGCAGCGAGCACGAAGCCGACGACGCTCCTCAGCATCGATCTCAACGGGAACGGCATGGCGCACATCGCACAAGCGCCGCCCGCGCCTATCAGCCGGCTGCACGTCCGCTCGCCGTCGACAAGCACGTCGCTCATCGGCGCGGGCGTGACCTTCTCGGCGCTCCCGCCCTCGCCGACCAGCCGCGCACACCACTCCCACAGCAACTCGGGTTCGTCGCAGAGTGTCGGCGGCGGCGGTGGCGGGGGACTGTCGTCCGTGCAGGCGCCACTGCACACATCGCATCACCCGCGAAACAACCCGCGCCCGTCATCGCCGCCGCAGGACAACGCGTCGGTGCTGACACTCGCATCGTCTGCCTTCGGGATCCCTGTGCGCGCGGCGGTGGCGCACCATGCGAACACGGCGTGGAGCTCGGGCCCGCCGTCCGCACTGGCGGATTCGATCTCGCACTTTGGTGGGAGCATCACGTATGCTGATGCGGAGAGCACGAGCCAGTATCTGCTCGGGGACGACGATGTCGATGCGAGTGTGCGGGCGCTTCGGCCCCGGAGCTCTCGTCGAGGGAGCTGGGAGAGTGAAGCCAGTCGCTGGAGTGCACGAGGCGTAGGAGCAGGCACACCTTCGCTCGCTCGGGACGGAAGGAGTATCTGGACATCACAGAGCACCCGGACCGGAGGTGTTGGTGATATGTATGAGAAGTCGGATGCGGGAGGCGACGAAAACGAGGAGGATGAGGCCCCTGAGAACGACGCCCACAGTGATTCTGGCTCCCAGACCACGCCTGCTAAAGAAGCTGCCCATCCTTTGACTGTTCCCCTTCCTCCCAGCACTGATGACCTGACATCTTGAAAACATTCCTTTACTTACAGTACTGTACATTTGTAACTTTTCTTAACCGAGAAATTCGGGATGCATCATGCTCTACTGTATAAAGTGCG